AGCCCCATGTGGCGTTTGGCTGGGCCACAGCAACTCCTGCCAAGAGCAACAGTTTTACATATTAAAGCAAAATTAAATTAAAATACATTTATTTGTGTGTTTGCCCCCCCGGCCCCCACCCCGACACCCCATTAACCCTTGGCAGCCCAGGCAGCAAGGTTAGGAGATACAAGAGCATCCATGGGGGCTGAGTTGGGATGGGGGGACTGGCATCTTCAGGTCCCACCCGTGGGCCTTGCTGTGCCCACTGCCTGCCCAGAGCCCTCCCTGGGCAGCAGAAACCAGGCCCTGGGACCCCTGGGTGTTCCCTGGTGACATTTCCAAATGTTCCTTAGCAAACAGCTCCCTAAAGGGAAGCCTCAGTGGCAGGAGCTGGGCTTTAGGGTGCCCCGGATTAGTGACAGTGCCGCCCTCAGGTCCCTCACCCTCACACTGGGGCTAGGGAGTGGCTGAGACCCCAGGGAAAGGTCTCAGCACTCTCCAGGTGACACCTCCACCCCAGCTGTGGTTGCCAGCAGATCCATGGGTGACAATTTGCCCCCAGTCCAGTCCAGCAGCACAGAATACCCCAAAACACCCAATTCACAGGAGGAAGGGGGCAGCACTCGAGGCTGGTTGCTCCTCACTGCCACCTGCTTTCTGCCCCCCTCCCCCCGAAGCTGGTGGCCAAGGGGGACAAATCCCCCTCTAGGACCTGAAAAATAACCCCTGAATAACCCTTTTCCCAGGGCCCCAGAGCTGGGCGACCAGTTGTCCCGTGCTAGAGGGAAATTCCAGGCGTGCGAGAGGGAATTTCCGGGGAGGCAGCTTTATCTCCTGCCCCGTTACACGGACCGATAAGCAGCTCCCACGGAATTTCCTCCCAGCGCCGGCCGGGGATGGATCAGCCCCGCGTGGCGGGCGAGGGGACCGCGCTGACAGGTTATGTTGTTGCTGCAGACACGGCAGAGCTGTGGGAATGCCTGGGAACGGCACCACACCCGCAACTCTGGCGCCAGGACCCGCACGCAGCACCGACCAG